TCTCTCTCTCTCTCTCTCTCTCTCCTTCTTCTCGTTCCCCTCGAACATAGCAACAAGCTTGTCGACTTCAGTGTCGGTGATCAACTAGCTCTTCTTCACAACAACGACAATATAATATCATCCAGTCTCTCCCTCCCAAGTGCTGAGTTGTTTTTTGGCTGGTTTTTTGTTGTTGTTGTTGTTATTGTTGTTGTTTTTTTGTAAGTGTTTTACGGCGCTCGCAACTGCATAAGGTCATATGAGCACGCGGGACACACCGGACATTTTCAAATGGTACGGAATTTTGAATTTTGCCCGGGTGGCGGCCGAAGCCTGCTCTTGTCGATTTTGGACCATCAAGGGATCTTTAACGTGCACAACTTGCACACGAGATTTTTCACCCTTGTCGGAGAAGGCTAGGTGTAGATCTTTCCTACCCGAAGATCAGGGGTGCGCTGAAAGACAACAGTAAGGAGCCAAAGAGTAGCAGTAGAAAGGCTGTCCAGTGGAGCGGGCAAAGGAGGTGAGGGGATGGGGGCAGAAAGTGGAGACGAAAGCAGAAGACAGAATATTGCAAAAGAGAAGGAAAGAAGGTGAAAGGAGACCATTTTAGAGAAGAAAAAATTTCCGTCGCTGCCCGGATTCGAACCCCGGACCTTTGAATGAGAGGTGAACACCTTAACTTCTAAGCCATGAGAGCCCCCTGTGCTGAGGTTTTCCATAACAGGCATCTCGTAGATCTTTTCATTTCAAGTAAGATAGAACGTTTTACAAGAGAGCTAATCCTGACACTGCGCTTTTTGTTGTTCTGATTTTCTGTTTCCAGCTCCAACACACACACACACACACACACACACACACACACACACACACACTCACACACAGGGCGTTCCTCTTCAAGTTACGCCCTTTTCTGTGCTCCGACGTGACAGAAAATTTTGTTTGTCATTTGTTGTTTTGTTTGGCTTTGTTTTGTTTTTAATTAAGCACATGGTCATTAAACTTCAATTTTGAAGCTCCTCCGTGTAAAACTGAATGAATTGAAAATCATATATTTTTTCTTGCCTGTAGTGTGCGGTGTCGTGTTAAGTGCAAATATGGCATCTTCATATTCTTATCAGTTGGAATCAAAGCATATGGAGCAAATACAACGTCGAAGTGTACAGAAAAGTTATGTGTGTGTGTGTACGCGCGCGCGTGTGTGTATAGGTGTGTGCGTGTGTGCGTGTGTGTGTGTGTGTGTGTGTGTGTGTGTGTGTATACGTGTGTGCGTGTATATATACGTGTGTGCGTGTGTGTG